TAAAAGATATCAGGATCGTAGACACCAGCAGAATCGTTGTAACTGTACTACTGTATGTGTATATTGAAAGTGTATAATTAGTGCAAGTGTATAAAGTTAAGTATAAATGTAAAGTAATTCGAATTCAAGAATGTTCTGTACACGATCTCTTAATTGTATATATTGTAATTATATTTTCACAAAATTGTATATATTCTTTTGAACAAGCTAAAAAGGTTTACTCATGGGTAATAAATCAGCCTATTTTAACTCTTCAATTACTAGTGTCGCTGATCAGCGAACACGCGCATGTAAACAAACAGCTAAAAATAGACCCAATTTGGAGATTTATAACTTTTCGGAAAATTGCTTGCAGACGAGTTTTATTCCTGATTACTTAACTTTAGTAGGTATACTTTCAAATTACATGCCTTTTGAACTTCAGATAGGTGCCACTTTTGAGCTATTTTAAGTAATATATGAACAATTTTCAGCCTCTCGTCGCCATCTTGAAAACATAGTTTCGTAAAACTATAAAAAAATCGTATTAAGCGAATAAAGTTGTTCAATCTCCATGTAAATGAGGGTATTAGTGTTAATCTTGCATGTGAACAGTAACTGGAGGGGATAAACGCATCACAACGTTTTTAAAAAATCAGATGAATTCTTGTAAAATTCCCCTTCATTTCCGGTCTGACAATATTCTCGCAAGGTCAAATTTTAACATGGCTATAACTCCTATAAAACAGAAAGTTGAAACGTTCTGAAAGAAGTTCGATTAATATTGACCAAAGTCTAGTTCATATGCAAAATATGAGCTAAATCTATTTTTCCTTCCCCAAACCAGTGAGTGGATTTTACTGAGAGGCCCTCTTAAGCTTTGCGCGCTTAGAGTTTAAGGTTTAGAGTTCACGGCTTGCAAATGACAACCTTTTTTGAATTGGCTGTATACGTATGCAGGGGCGTAGGAAGCACCTGGAGTTTGGGGGGGCACCGGCTTGTAGGGGCACATTACTATCGGAAAGGGCACCTAAAAAATTTTTCCCGGAAATGTTGTCGACGGGGGGGAGAGAAATTTCTCCTGAGGAAAATTTTCCGTCGTATCATACCGAAATTTATGTTTGTGACCTAATTTTTAAAAAAAATTTGTAAATTTCCACACAAAAACGGCACCTATTGTTTTAATTTAATATTTACAGCGACATTAGCTTCTACAAAAGGGGCACTTTTCCTCACAAAAAAGGGCACTTTTCAACACAAAAAGGGCACTTTTTATCACAAAAAAGGGCACTTTTAGTCCTTTAAAAAAATTTGGGGGGCACGTGCCCCCCGTGCCCCCCCGCTTCCTACGCCCCTGTACGTATGTGACATGAACAACTGGGTATAAGTTTAAAGGTTGACGGTTTGTGTAGCGTTCATTAATACCTTTCTCAGTTTCCACAGCTTGGTTGAACTATCACAATTAGATACGCGGGTTGCGTGAATTTCAGTCGTTTACGGTTTAGGCTTGTTTATGTGATACAGGACGTTTTCATCCCGCCTAGCCTGGGAACTCGCCCAAACGGGATGGCCTGTTCATATGGACAAAAATTGTTGGGATGAAGCCATCTAAGTGCTTGACGTCATATCTTTTTTGCAGAAAAAGCATTTACGCGTGCTCAGGAGGCAAGTTCATCAAGCCTAGGCGGGACACAGAGTGTTTATATGGGAATTCCGTCTCGCGGCTAAATAGAGTTTATACCTTTCGTCGCATCAAAAATATTTTCCTCTTTTGATGTCGTTGCTTTCTTCTTCTTTTTCTCTTTGGATTTCTTAGGAAGATCATCAAATATCGATCCAGTGTCGGCAAAAAGATCATCCATTTCATTTGTCTTCTTTACCTCACTTGGTTTAGGTTTTTCCTATATACATATCAAGAACAACATTATATTTGTTTTGTTTTGTGGAAACACCATGTATATTTAATTAGCAAAGCCTTCAACACTTAAGCCCGCATCGTCTTCGGTGCAAAATAATATATTAAAGACTAAGTTTTAGTTCATACGTCCTTTTATACTAAAAGTGTCGTGATCTGTTATAAGCAATTGTAGATGAACGCAGCACCAAGACAAAAATAAAAACATTTTATCATTACCATACTTCACAACAACAGCCATAAGCTTCCAAAATTACGGTTAGACGAGGACAATGCCGCATTCTGCTCAGCAGTAATTAGAGGACGTTTTGTTTTTTGTTATCATAGTGTAAAATTAGTTGTAATTAACGTGCGCGGCTTTGCCTTGTTGGGACTTCCAGTCCGTTTGGAAGTCCCTTATCTAACTCGCCTTTTGCTGTTTGTAATGTCTACTATTTTATTATCTTGTTTAAATAGCTGGAATCTTGAGTTTACAAGCTAGACGTTAGTATTCGGAGTGTGTTTCACCTAAATTGTTTTAATGTGGTATTGTAAATTTTAGCGAGTTCGATTAAAGCTTCTTATTATTATTATTATTAATATTATAAAACAATAAAACAAACATACACTACCTGTATTATTTCTTCCTTATCATTCTTTTTATCCACTTTTGTTTTCTCTTTGTCTGTTTTATTTTCACTATCTTTCTTTTTATTGGATTTTGGAGCAAAAATATCATCATCATCGTTGAATATATCATCACTCATTGCTTTAGACTTGCTTTGTGTTGAAAAATCTCCAGAGGCACTGACCTCGGAATCGAAATCCAGAGGAGGAGGAGAAAACAATGGTCTGCTGTTTGGCCTGAATAGATCATCCTCGTCCTCGTCATCATCGTCTTCAATTACCGCCACTTTTTGTGAACTTGACTTGTCGCTCTCAACTGATTTACTGAAGATATCACCTTTTGGCTTACTGTCGAAAAGTGGATCAGTTTCTGGCTTTTGGTTTTTCGTTGCAGAAAGATCTGATTTGGCCTGTTCAGATTTGTTACTCTCAACCGACTGGCTGAAAAGGTCATCTTTTGGCTTATTATCAAAAAGTGGATCAACTGTTGATTTTTCCTTTTTCTTTGCAGAAATATCTTCCTTCGGTTTAGTTGACTGACTAAAAAGATCATCTTTTGACGGACTATCAAAAAGTGGATTAGCGCTTGATTTTTGACTTTTCGATTTTCCCTTTTCCGATATCGTGCTATCAGTTGATTGACTGAATAAATCATCAATTGGCTTACTATCAGAAACTGGATCAGGTTTTGATTTTATAGTTTTCTTGGCAGAAACGTCTTCCTTCGGTTTTGTCTTTTGCGATATATCACTTTCAGACGGGCTAAAGAGATCATCTTTTGGCTTGGTATCAAAAATTGAATCAATTTCTGATTTTTTGTTCGGTTTGGCCATTTGCGAAATGTTACTTTCACTTGACTGGTTAAACAAATCATCGACGTTTGCTTTTTTATCAGTCGTCTTGCCTGGTTTTGGAACATTTTGTGGAACTACTTTTCTCTTTGGTGCGATACTACTCTCACTTTCAGTAGACAGACTGAAAAGATCATCTTTGGGTTTCTCATCAAAGAGAGACTTAGATTTCTGCGCGGATCCATGTTGAACAATGTTAGATTTGGGTAAAAATGAACTATCACTCTCCGTTGACGTACTGAATAGATCGTCCTTCTGCCGATTACTAAACAGGGAGTCCGTCTTGTTCTCATTTCCTTGTGCTTTCGTAGATAGACTGTCTTTTTTACTTTCTATATCGTCACTTGGGATGCCATCAATGGAATCTTCGAATGAAGGTAAATCAGAGGACATTGAATTATGAATAAACAATGGATCGAACTTTGAAGTACGTGATTGTGTCGTATGTGATTCTAAGTTGTGTTTCGCAGGAGCTTTGTAGGAGCTACTACTAAATAAGTCTTCAGAGTCACTAAACAGCGATGTATGACCACCTTTCGTGCCAGTTAGGCGTTCATGAGAAGCAGGTGGGGTAACCAAATCAGATCCAAATAAGGACGTATCATCCATACTTTCTTTAGCAGCTTTTTGCCTCGCCTGTCGAGTGGGAGGTCTTCGCTTGCCACGAACTCGAGCACGGTCCTGAAAAATATATAAAGTGAGTTGTTAAATATTGCACAGATGTTGTGATCCGAAGTAGCCCGGTTACTAGCAAGTGACTTGAGCTAACTGCAAACTTGGTATATTAGACATTTCCCAGTACCCTTCTGCAAGATCTATGCTCCCTGTAGTCAGATTTGTGTGATTTTCCCCCAGACAGAAGTTAGGTGTGTTTTCTGTCCTGAGTGATGTTTCCCACAGCCAAAATTGACCTTCTGAATTGCTCAAAGATTGCCGCTGACCCCACCCTAGTTTACTCGTCCAGCTCGCAATGCGCACGGGGATAACTGGAAATTAATTTTGGCTACCTGTAAAAAAGGTAAGTAAATACAAACATGTTTATAACGTTTTAGTTAATACTTCTACATATTCGGGAAGAGAACCATTTTATCTCAAACTATATACATTGTCAATGTACATGTATACTTCACTTAAATTGTTGTGGCCGCGCGGCCTTTGTAACATATCCTTCAATCCCAAAAGTAGCTCCCCCCCCCCCCGATCGTTGGTTTCGTGACCCTATTAAGATGCCCTAAATAACAGTGTGCATGAAAATATCTGTGACCTAAAAGTATAGCGGGAATTTTTCAACACATCTTTTTGTAATTTTGTAAATAAAAACGAAATGAGAATTTAGTTGAAGTTTAGTACAGTATACATGTAATTAATAAACACTGCAAGTGCAATGGCACGCTTTCCCAAGAAGTGGAGTACCTTGGCAACACTACAAAAAATATTGGAATATAAGAAGTAAAAGCGAATTATAGACAATCCAGACAACTCTCTGTATGACCTGTTGCCACCAAAACGAACAAGAGTCGTACTTAATCAGGGACATAACTTTATTCTTCCGAAAATACGAACTGAATGATTCAAGAGAACATTTGGAAATATAGATATCTTTTAACTTTATCAATTACTAATATTAACGATACACTTGTACACACTTTTCTTAATATACAGTTATTAGCTGAATTCATATTAGAAGACGGATTTCCGTCTAAGACGGGAAACTCGTGTGATTTCCGTCTGGTATGAATATGAAACGAAAACCATTGGACGGATAAACCCGAAAAAATAGGAGACCCTCCAACCCAGTCTCTTTTCAACGTTACGAGCGTAAACCCGTTGATTTATTCGTTTCATATAAATTTAAGACGAGTTTCCCGTCTAAGAAACTCGTCTGAACGACGGGAAAGTTTGACGGAAGACCCGTCGTTAACCGAATTTATACCTGGACGAGTTTCCCGTCTCAGACGGAAATCCGTCTTCTAATATGAATTCATGCAGCTAAGTATACTTGGACGGTTGTTACGCAGTGTTTTTTTAATAAAGACTTATCAATCAAAAGTTAAGATGTTAAATTGACAAGGTGTTCTCTACTATATATGCGCTGACATTTATTTTTAAAGTATGTAACACCACGAAAGTAGCATCACCAAAGCACTAACGGGTTTCAAATCTAAAAGTAAACCGGGGGGGGGGTACTTTCGGAATTACATTCTATGGTATTTCAAAGTGAGCATACTTACCCTGCTAGATGATTCAAGTGTGGTTACAGATGCAGGTTTATCAAACGTCGCCTCTGCTGAATTTTCTTGTTTTCTAGGTGGTGGAACAGCTCCTGGTAACATTGTAGCAGGATTGAATATTATCGGTTTCTGTGCAAAAAAAGATAGATCAGTTTTTATGTCAGAAGAAATTGGAAGTAATTGACATGCAATAGACAATTCCGAATTTGATTGATTGAGTGCACACAAAGAATGGCTTGATATTGAGGCAGACAATGTAATCCATTGTAAATAAGTAGTTTTCATTGCCAGCCAGGAAATTCGGGAAGTCTCTATTAAATCATTACTGTATAGTGCAAACTTTCTGTTTCATCCGCGAGATCGATTTTTACATCCAATTATCTGGGAACATGGATTGTAGTTTCTATATTTATCATTTTTACACATGTACACAGGGTTCGTAGAGGTCAGGAAGAGTACAAGGTCATGTACCAGGAATCTATCCTATTTTCGACATCCTGTACTGTTTTGTGGGATAAAACCATGCTTAAGTAAATTATTACATGTGTTGCTTCTTAAATACGGTCATTCTCGTACCCAGAGTCCTTCTTACGCGCGGTGCGACGAGGGGCTCTGGCCAAATCCATATTCCGAACCCCTCGTCGCACCGCGCGTAAGAAAGGCTCTGGGTACGAGAATGAAATACGGTTTTCTAATATAATTTCAAAACCTCGTTACCAGACCTGATCCAGTTTCTTGGGTGGTGGAGCTGCACCAGGTAGCATTGCCGCTGGGTTAAACGCCAACGTTTTCTATAGTAAAGAGAAGAAAGCCGTGTTAAACAATCTATACAATACCTCATAATTTCATAATTATGACCTAAAACTATATCAATGTCGCTTGGAGGCGCTTTAGTGGTGTCAGAGAAATTAAAACAAGCCACGTTTGTCATTTGGTCACGCCAACAAACCATCTCTCGTAATTTTTCAATCGGGAAAGAAATATCCAGGCATCATACTATACGCATGGCTGGTTTCAGTGTTGATTGGGTTATTGTTACGAATAATCGATTGGCAAAAACCACACAGAAAATAATCGATTAATCAATCCATCGGAAGGAGCTCCACCTATAACTTACAATGATAAACGAACACTCCTTTGCTTTATCATTAAATAAATTAAAACAGCATGTAGGTAGAATATTTGCGTAGGTATAATAGTATGGTTTCGAGTACAATTTGGATAAAACATGCACGAGTGAGTTTTTCAAAGAGCGTCAAAATAGCACGAGTCCAAAGGACGAGTGCTATTTGAGGTCTTTGAAAAACTCAAGAATGCTTGTTTTTATCCAAATTTCACGAGAGACCATCCTATCACGTACTAATAATATACATAAAAATGTTCGAGACAATTGTAGTTTTAGCTAACGTCGATATAGCGAACCGTCCACAAAGTTTTCCTGCTTTGTTATAACACATTATACAATGCTAACGGCTTGAAAATTTCACGTAACTATTCATGTTTTGTTGGCTTTGTTTAAGGTAAAGTCTTTTCCGTTAAAAAGAAGATAAAAGCCATGTGACAGTTACTTGAGGACTGCTTTAAGCTGATTGGTTGATTTTATCTCCTCAATCTTTTTCGACGAATCAGATCAGTTTGCTACAGATTTTTGCACTGCTGTTTGAGATTAACTGCAATGAAATCAACAAATCACAGTAGAGTAATATTTTTATGTATATTATTAACTTTATAGAAATTTTCCTAAAAAAGGCCTTTTCAGATCATATGCTGTTTACACCAATTATCACTTTTCGTTCGTGCATTATTTCTTCCTTCGTATTGAATTATGAAAAGTAATTGAAGACATACAGTAGAGTGATAAAAATGCAAACATCACATGACCTGCATTCGAAGCTAAATAAGTTATTACACCGTGATAAATTTACCTGCAATTTTCCAACATTTGTGTTTTTATTACTTGGTGAAACAAGAGGGGAAGCTTGCACTGGCACTTTTGATCCTCCCAGAGGAGATGAAGAAGTTGGTTCAGGAGCCTAGGTACAAAACACAAATATTGAAATATTCCTTTATGAAACAGAAAGAACGAATTATTACACAAAAACACATCGTTCGATTTCTATTGTGCATTTGTAGTCAATTATTAATTATAATTTAATAGATTTGTCACAATATTACAATAATTACAAATACATAACATAACATAGTGACAGGATGCCGTAAAAGGATAAATCCCAAATGATAACGGCACCCTTTACATAAAAGACATTCAGATATATTACAAGGTGGAGTATAAGTTCATGCAAGGTGGAGTATATAAGTTACCAATTTTGCAAAGTAGTATTCAAGCAGGTTTGTTTTAAAAGACGCAATGGAGAGACATTCTTTACAACTTGAAGGTAGATCACTCCATAATCTTACTGCCCTGGGAAAGTATGAATACTGGAAGTAATTTTGCTTATGTTTAGACAAAGAAGTCAAATTATTTGTGTCGGAATTTCGTGTTCGATAATGGCAATAGTTGTCGAGATAACGTGTTCGTTAGTGTTTATAAACATCATTCCAGTCTTAAATTTGTACAGGAGAAGAAGATCACTCAATTGTCTGCGATACTCCAGAGGCAGCATATGAAGGGTTAAGAGTCGGTCCAGGTATGAAACATCCGATAGCGGGTAATCCAGTATAAACTTTGTGGCTCTTCTATGGAAGTTTTCAATTAGAGCTCTGTGCTTGATTGTATATGGTGACCACAAATAGGAACAATTTTTCAGCTGGGGCAGGACCAAGGAGCAATAGAGTAGCTTCCTCACTGACTGATCATTGATGTCAGAACACACTCTTTTAATTAATCCTATATAACGTCTTGTTTGGTTTAGCTGACACCTCTTCAATGTGGTTAGCCCACTGTAATTTGTCTGATATCATAATGCCTAGATGTTTAGTATGTGGACACTTTCAAGAGTTTGATCACCAAGGTGGTATAATCTCGCGTTTGTAGGAATCTTTTTCTTTGATATATGTAGGGTTTTACATTTAGAGGAACTGAACGTCATATTTGAATTCACACAGACTGACTCCATGTTTCCAGAGAATCCAAGTCTTACTGAAGAAGTTGAGCAGCAATAGGTGTGTAAGTATCCTATAAAGCTTGGAATCATCAGCAAACAGTGCCAGTTGGCATCCATTCCCTATATAGTGTCGTAGGTCATCAACAAAAACTAAAAACAAAAGTGGGCCAAGGATGAACCCTTGGGGAACTCCGGAAGTCACTGGTAGCCAACTAGAGAACACACCATCAAGTAGAACTCTTTGATCCAATCGGATAGACAACTATGGTACCATAGTAGATTAGTAGGTTTCTCGATATGCCATAAGAAGACAACTTAGCATTATTGTTATATCACTTTTTTGGACGGGAGGTTTTTAATATACATATTTTTTACTTTTTGTTACAAGGCAGCGTACGTAGCCCATTGCACAGAAAAATGGCCACACCGCTCAACATTCATTGCAGAGAATGATTGGTAATTTTACGATGCAGTGATGCACGACGAAAAAATCTTCCATTTCAAGTTTTACGGAAAATAACATGTTATACTAAAATATTTCTTTCGCTTATACCCACTAAACACGAAAATCATGAACAGTTTATGTAGTTCAGTTCAGTGGGTGTAAGATGAATGTTCGGTGGCATGCTCAATTCGCAATTTATGATCACGATGTATGTTTGCTAGTAAAAAATGCGGCAGTGCATTATAACATTGCATACGCTTACGAACCAGAGGGAGTCATTGCGAGTCATTTTCATGAAAGGGAAAGTAGAGAAGTAGTCATTTAGCAACGGCACCTTCCATATCATAATCTTGCGCTACTTTACACGATCCTGGGCTGGAAGACCTCATGGGGCTTGTTTTTTTAGACACTATAGACATTTGTTTTCAACTTGGCTCAGCTTAAGCAAACCCGGTTTGAAATTCAATTTTGGTTCTGCCATTTTCTGTCCATATCTCTATATCAGTATACACGGGTTGGCGAGGAGTGAAATGGTTGAGCCGGCTATCGTGTAAATGCTAATAGACATTTATTAGTAGACGGGTTAACCAGTGCTGACAAAGCCAACCTGGGCTCGTGTAAAGGCAGTCTAAATTGCATATAATGATTCTATGTCGCTTATTTTCGATGGAAAGTGTTCAAAACCGAAAATCTTTTTGGCGTACCTCTCAAAATTACTGTTTTAGCTGCTTTTTTCTCCAGTTTATACAGTTAGCTACCTTTTTAAATGCATTTGCCGGTTCAGAAACATAAATAATAGTAACAATTGTCAATTAAAATACAATTATCAATGATGCTTTAAAAGTGCACGCCATATTGACAGCAAAATAAGCAAAACTTACTGAACTTCAGCTATCAGACATCATTTTCTCTTTGGCGTACCATCTAAAATTTCTTCATTTTAGCATTATTTTACAGATAAAGCACCAAACGTACTTTAATTTAAGTTTGTTTGCCGATTGAAAAACGTATCGAAAAAAAAAGTTTGAATGTAGTCATAACCGCGGCCAGTGGTATATTATACTCATTAGTTTTGATATATAAAACAACTCCTCTTAATCAATTATTAGAAAATAACATTTCAAGAGATATTGTAGGTAAGCTTACCTCAACTGCTGGTTTTCTTGGTTTAGCGCGGGGACCCACTGTCGGTACTGGTTTTGGTGGGGACGCAAATAAATCATCTTCATCATCTGCAAATAAACTGTCGCCTAAAATACAATTATTTAAAAAAACAAAATTACAACAACACATTTATAATTTCACTTGATACAGTTGAAATAGAAATAATAGAACGTTTTCATGGCATTTTAGACGTATCTTGATTATTGTAAAATATCAGGGGCCAGTTGTACGCAGATCTGGAAAAAGTGTTCAATGATCCTCGGATCCTGAATTTGCCTTTTCCAAATGTCCTAAAATTACGCCAAATTTGAACACTGAACACCCTCAAATGACAGATAAGGAAGACATATGATTCTCCAACAAACTGTGTGTTAAAAAATGTTCCTGAATCAAGATCCACGATCCCAAGATCCCACTTTTTTCGGGTTCTGGTTGTACCTAGACCAGATAGCGCTATCCACCGAAAAATGATCATTTCAAGCATCCTAAAATTGTCCGTTGATTGGTATAACCCAGGTTAAACTTAGGTATTTATAAATTAAAGTTTCTTTTTATTAATTGTGAGACTGAGTTTTGTAGCTTTTCGAGCAATTTCACAATGCTTGAAAAAATCACTCCCCAGTAGAGGCCGCTATCCGGTCTCCGTACAATCAGCCCCAGATGATAACAATTCTTAAATGGTATGGGCAACAAAATTTAGTTATGTTTAGATTGAAAGAACTCCTTAAACTATGGAATAAGGCATTTTACAAATATTCGATATTTTTGTTTGGTTAGAAGATATTTCAGTTTATTTGGTAATAAGATGACGACACAAGCTGGGTAAATAAGATGACGTCACAAGCTTCAGTTCTCTATCCAGTTCAACTATGAGATCAACCAGATTTTCCATTCTGTGTGTGGAAATTCACTATAAATCTCAGGAAAAACTATAGTCGCTGACTACGCTCCGGTGGCTAATAATAATACCTTGCGGTTTGGCTTTCGTAGGTTTCCCAGGTTTTTGTCCAGCAAATATATCAACACCTCCAAACATCGGTACAGCACCAGGTAATATCTTCCGACCTGGCTTCACACCATCTTCTTCATCTTTCTCATCACTATCTGCCTCAAATAAGTCTTCCGATTGTTTCTCCACTTCCTTCTTTGCTGGCTCAGTGACTGCAGGTGTGACTGCATCCTGCTGAATGGAAACATCATAGCATAGTGATTAGTACATGTTGTACTTTCTATCATCTGCAATTCTGGTCAAAACTAACAGTAGCGATGCACCGATGTAGGGATCACATCCAGCCAGATAGTGCGATCATTTCATTATACGGTATCCGACCGGATATTAGAAATAGTGAGTTTGCCAATCGACAACGGCAGGAAACAGAATTGCCTACCTTTCAGTATTCGAGCCAAAGCATACATTACTGAACTTTATTTGCCTCTTAAAAGTACTTATCATTCTTTGCCAACAACCTCAAGTAACAATAGTCAGTGGATTCACATAAAACACTCCAAACGTATTCTGTTGGCGTGGTCATGAGCCATGAAAATGATGTAAATATAACGTAACAGTTTGAACAACTTCGGTGTACTAGAATACTCAAGGGAATAACTTATACACATTTCTATCTAGGAGTAAATATTGTTCATGAGCACGTTGTATTTGCCAAACTCACTAATGTCTTGCCAGGTACCAGATATTGTTAATATAAGGTTCAGCCCTTGTTTTCAGGTTAAAAAAATGATTTGATAAGCTCGAAAAAGTAGGTCTGTTTATCATAGTGATATTCTCACTTTACATGATCATAGAAAGGCTGGATTTCACCTTTGAACTTTGTGAGCGAGGCTTTTTCAACCATGCACAGTATGTTTACCGATATTAGACTGTGAAGATCTTCCTAATATTTCAAGTATTATTTTGAGTCAATCAAAATATTAGAAACAGCTTCACTTTTTAACGAATTAAAATTATTATTTAAGATTACCAAAAGCTCTATGCGGTGCAGCACTAACCATCAGCGACACTCTATTAAGCATTGTTCTGTGACCTTTTGTTTTACACTATTCAACTGCGATAATTTACTCCTTATCCCCCCTCCGCCAACAGGCCTAAAAAGTGCTCCTGTTTGCGACTTATTAGTATCTGAATATATGTTGTTGTTTTATCTTTGTCAAAAATTGTTTACTGAAAGTTAAAATCTTGCGTTTTTAAATAATGTGGGAAACAACTTAATTCTCGACTTAATTTCTAAACATTGTTTTTCGAAGAATGCTCTTCTTTTTAGCAATGTAATAAATAACTTATTGACTGAGCTTGTTCGGTCCGGACAGTATAGGATATTAGTCTCGTGATCTACTAATATCTAACAGTGCGGACCTCTCGTTTAGTCAATAACATATATGAATGTAAGCAATGAGCAAAACGTACTTTAGGCTTCGGTTCAGCAAACAGACCATCATCATCATCTACATGAAGTACAGGACTTTCTTGCTTGGTAGTTTTTCGATCTGCTTTGTTACTCACAGCGTCTACTTCATCCTGAAATTTTGAAAAATTTGTGCGAATTTCTTTCGTGTACTGTTTCTGAAAACTGTTGTGTAATATTTGTGCAGTATAAAGTTAACGTGAAAAATTTAGTCAGAAATGTTAAGTTTGCGTTAAAGAGACCATATTTAAAGGAACCGTTAATCTCAAAATTGAATTGTTATTGACTTTCAGGAAGCTGGACAAAACTATTAATGATACAAAAGTTCACGCAGATTTTAGTTGATCAATTTAGGTCGTGGGTATAGTTGTATGGTTTCGAATGCAATTAGGAAAAAACATGCACAGGTTAATTTTCCATAGTTTTTCAAAGACGATCAAAGTTATCAATAACATACATGAAAACAATATGCAGAAGCAAATATATATACAGTTGTCACTTGCATGCATGAAAACACAAGCGAAACACGCGATTTACTCACTCATTACAAAGACACAACAACTTAATACAATTAATTTTCTTTCTAAAACTATCACCTCTGTTCATAGCACAATTTTAAATTCGTTTAAGTTTCAATTCTATATAGGATTATACGGGAGGTTGTAACAGTAATAAAATATTGCCAAATGTAGCACTATTTATACTTACTGCAACGGCTTTAGGTTTTGATCCAGAAAACAGCGGATCTTCTTCGGAAGCAAACAACCCAAGATTTGGTGTAGATGACTTTGCAGAAGGTTTTACTGCAGGAGGTTTTACCTCAGAAGGCTTACTCTGGAATAACACAGATAAAAAAGGAGCTTTTCAGAACAGTGATGTTCATTAGGCCCATTTAGTGGTTTATCGATCATGCCTCAATCGGAAATTACCGAGTGTTCCAAGTCACAATCGGCTCGATTCCGATTATTCAAACCAGTTGAATACGTTACGTCATTCCTTTTGGTCAAATACTAGTAAAACCATCATTTAACGCATATTCACTTAAATCACTTTATCACAAGAAAAATAAAATAAATAATCAAGGACAGGTCGCTAAGCATACAGTAGTTCTATTTCTGTTTATAGAAAAAAAGATTATTGGCTTAGTGGGCTGTCCCGCCAACTGGTTTTCATATAGACAGTCCCTAAGAAGGAAAGGAAACAAAAATACCTTTGCTGAAGGTTTGATGCTAAACATATCTTCTTCCTCATCATCTTCGTCATCGTCGTCATCAAATAAACTGATAGTTGAACGCTTTGGAGCAGGTTTGGAAACTTCGGCTGTCTACAATACACAGAATAATTATGATGAAAAAAGAATTACCTATAGTGTCAGTAATATTTCAAATCCGATTTTGAGGACTGGACTAGATTTCAAGTCCGCGTAATTTTATCAAGTCCGAGGTGAAGCCGGGAACTGTACCAAAATGCGAAGACTTGAAATCTAGTCCAGTCCGAATTGAAGGATTTGAAATGACATCTCATACGAATAAACCACCACTTAGAGTGAGGTGAATTAATTTTGGTCCAGTCCTAGGACTGGATAAACAAACTTCACCATGCAGGTATCCAGTACTTTGTGCAATAATTCATCAGTAAATTAGCAAATATGGTTGGCTAAGTTAATTGGCTAATTTACTAATTTACTATAAGTTTAAGAGTTTGAGATCAATACTTGATATTTAGAGTACCAAATGGTCAACGGTGTACGCTAATTCTGAGTCTCGACTGCGCATCCAAATGACGCTTTAAATAATTAATGTACCTAGCACATTTTCTCTTTTGTGTAAAAGCAAAATAAAGAAAGGTAGATTTAAGGGTAGATATTTTCTAATTTAAAGCGAATCAATTAGTAATTGTTCTTTGAGAAACAATGCGTGGGTTGTATAGAGAAAAAAGTTTGCTAACTTTACTTTTGCAAATTGCTTTTTCCTTAATCAAGTCTTTCATGTAATATTCAGCAATATGAATGGTGATATGAATATCTAAGCGAGTTTACATCTTAAAAATATTTAGAATCTCAACATTACAAAATAATTATTGCGCATCTTCGCGGATAAGTGAAAATCGGTTGCTGGAAAAAACCGGTTTTAAAATAAAACCAGGAAAAAAGTGACCGAACAAGTTTACTCTGACAACTATTGGTTGACGACTATCATCTGCATGGTAGTTGCCTATATAAACCCACTCATAAAGTTACAGAGTTGCCTCGAAGCTACCAAGATCTAACAGTTTGACTATTGCAGTTTTTTATGTTTCTGTCAAGCATAGGACTTACCTTTGCTTCTGTGGACGATTCAGGTTTTGAAGTTGTCTTGTTTTTGGTAGAGCTAAAATTGAGATAAATGGGAAGAATTAGAGCAGAAGAATCACAAAAACACGGAATAATAAAGGAATTTAAATCTTGAAAAATTGGTCTCAATCGCCAACGCGGTCGTCTTCGCGTAACCGCGAAAAGTGGCGGACACTGCATGGGTTGGTGTAACCGCCCCAAGCCCCCGAATAATTTCTGAAAGCCTTTGAATGACAGCTGGATAACTGTGTAACAAAGCTGTAACCATGAAGTACTGGTATGCTATCAATTTACAGTAGCTATATAATGCATGAAACTCAAGGCAAAAAAGTTTAAAGAACTACCATTTCCAGCGAAAAAAGGTACAGTAGTCCTATGTTGGCAACTTAATTTACCCCCCCCCCCAAAAAAAAAATAAATATAAAAATAAAAAAATTGTGAAGTGTCCGCTACTAACTGTGAAACAGCGCGAGGAACTGAATCTGGTGTCGTAAATCCACCACCATTTGTTTACGTTCCATTTAGGCAATTTGCTGACGTTATTGCATATGAAAACACTCACTACAGAATAATACATTATACTAATTGTGGGAGTTCTTTTAAGTTCACTTCTTTTAAACTTTATTTTTACTTCAATTACTTCTTATTAGCCTTTAAATGTGCTGGATATCCCAGTGACATCGGGTGTTAGCCAAGACTTACCCAAGTGTTTTTGATGGAGCGATGGATGCAAAGAGATCATCGCCATCATTATCGTCATCATCGTCATTATCATTGAACAAACTGATTTGATTGGTTTTTCGTTTGGCCTGTACAGCGGGCGCAGCTTTAGAAGCGGTACTGGACACCACTGACCGCTCAGAATTGAATGAACTCGTCTTATCGTCATCTTCGTCAAACAAACCACTTGCTTCTTTTGTTGTCTTCACATTTGATGTAGTAGCAGCAGCAGGTGAAGCCCCTACAGTCTGAAATCACAGTTTGAGGACTTTGAGGAGAGTATGCAAGTGAGGGATTAACAAGCTAACCATAGCAACTGGTCATGCTATGCACAGTTTTAAATATTTGTACTATTCAAACCTATATAGAAATCTATTGTCTTTACACTATTTTAGTGCAGGTTGGTTAGCATAGCATGGCAAGTTGACATGGCTATAGCTTCACCAATCAGCAAGCGAGTCGTTTTCAGTGAGCTCTATAAATTACGAGTAAGAACACGCGTGCAAAAAGCGTAATGAATAAAATGGGTGGGCTAGAGGGAGGTTTTCAAGATAGTTCAAAATTTAAACTCAGAGTTCGCTTCACTTTACGGTTAATGTTAGGATTAGATTTAGGGTAAGGTTTAGGGTGAAGTTTAGGATTGTTATAAGTGCCTGCTTGTTGATTCGTTTGCGCTTTAACGGTCTTGAAAAATAGGCGCCATCTTTGAAAACCTCCCTGCATGCATGTTGTACATCCCCTTTTGTCCATAACGTAGTTAAAGTTAACTATAGTTAGCATTAACTACTGTAGTTACATCCTTAACTAACATGACTTAACCGCGTTGCACAAAACGTAGCTAATCAGATAGTCAACTAATCAGGCTGCAAGGAGTGTGCCCAAGTTTGTGTTTTAACTTCGCTTAAGGAATTATAATATTATATTTTTTGATGACTGCCAACTTGATTAGCGATATAAGCAGTATAAGCAGTATAAGCAGTATATCATGATTGTGGAATGGACGAAAATATCACATCACGTTTGTCATTTTATGCTAAACAGAGCATGCACTATACATGCTAACAATGTCCATTTAACAAACATAAATTGTACCTCAGTGTTGAACAATGGAGGAGGTGAACCACTACCAAATATTGGCACAGCTCCAGCAGGTATCTATAAGGTAAAGCAATTTATATCATTTTTCTAACTGAGTTTCATTTTAAATACTCTTGCATGCATGATCTGTTTGAGCCATATTTAAAGCACGAGCAGTCCATATGTGCAGCATATGATTTACGTTTCAATAGCGCAAATTTACATGTAGATATGATCAAATGCTCTTTACATCAAGTATTATGTTTACCTAATTACTTATATACTGAGCCTAGACTATTTTATCTTTACAACAATGGACCATTTGCATTATAGACTAAATTTTGATCTAAACAAGTCTAGACAAAAATTTCATCACAGCTTGAAAGAGCATCACAAAATTAGTAATATTCCAAAGTTTCGTTGCGAAATGTTGTAAAATGCGGATAATATAGCCATGCGAAGTTTGCCGTTTTTCAGTCATTTTGTATTACGCACGGGGAATTGACAGCCCAATCGGGTGTTGGGGCATCAATTTCCCGTTTGTAATACAAAATGACTGAAAATTGCAAATTTCGCAAGGCTATATTATCCGCATTTTA